CTCCAAACATGTCTTTGCATGCAGTTCTTTGTGCCCACCCTGCCCATCTTCCAAGCACTGTGTGTGTGCATCCTTGGAGTTAGATGAGAGAGGGGTTTCCTCTACAATTCTCTGCTTCTCCTTGCCTGGGAGCAGTTCTGCCTGGGGGTCCAGGGTCAGTTTGGACAGCCAGGTCTTGCTCCCATCTCATCTACTTTATGGGTGGATTTTTTAGGGTGATAACGTAAGGGACTGGCCTTCAATCTGAGCAGCCTGATTCACACGCTTGTTGTTCTGATGTTCTTTGCTGGCCCAGTTCTTGGGTAAATGTGCACCTATGTGATGTATTTCTACCACTGTATTCTTTGCATGGGCAGCAATGTCTTTGCTCAGTGACATATGGTATAGAGTATCCCAGTTGGGGTATGGCCAGTTAAGGGCAGCTGCACTGGTTCTGTCCTCTCCAGCTCCTTGTGCCTTCTCAGCGCCCTCAGAGGAAGGCCAGTGTGCGCAGCTGAAACATCCTTGGCTCTGTGCGGCACTGCTCAGTAGCAACTAAAACCTCAGTGTGCCATCAGCATTAGTTTTCTCCTAAAACCAAAACATAGCATCATACCAGACACTGTGATGGTTATCAGTTTTGTCCCAGCTGAAATCAGGGCAACAACACACAAATTTATAAAGGGTTTCAGGCAAGAAACACTTTTTTCCCCTGATTTCCCTGTGGCATGCCTGCCCTGTCTCTTGCAGCTGTGCAGCCTGTACTGGCAGCTTGAGTCAGGCTTCCCTCCATAAGAGCATATGCTGCGATAGACAGCCAAGTTAGCACATCAGAGTGAAGTGTGTGTTTATTGAAAACAGCTCTGTTCTTTGCACACAGAGCATCGCCCTGCCAAGCCTCATCCCCCGAGATTCTTGACATTTGTGAAGGAAAGAGGAATCGCAGCAGCTGCTTGGCCTTAGCAGACTTTCCATAGCAACGGTGCTGTATGTGAGGCCCTGCGCAGAGGCCTCTCACCTGCTGCATTTCCTTTTGCATGTCGTTATCTTCAGACTGGGGTTTTATATTACAGATCCTTTCAAGTTTATTGATGTTACCAGGAGCTCAGAGATACTCTACTGGGACAGTGAGGCTTCTTTCTCAGGTGACATAAATCATGCCAGCAAAAGGACCCTTTTGCATGGTAAACCATATGTGCACAGGGACAGGGTATTATTGCTTAGAGACAATGTTGCTCCAGTTTTCCCCTTCCCAACTTCTCAAGTTGTTGAAACACAGCTTTAGAAGATTAATGTGCCGTGCATTAACTGCTAAACAGCTAGTTTTCATGCAAGGTATTCCTGCTGAAGAAAGAGGATGTGCTGGCAGCACCTTGCAGCCACACTCTGCTCTGTGCAGTGATGCCCCAGGGGTCTGGCTCCCCATATGTCAGATCCTGGAGGCTGGAAACATGATCTCTTCTGGCAGTCATACTGTTTTTCCACTTGGCTTGTCAGCCTCCAAACCAGGGCAAATCATTGCATAGTGCTGTTCCCCAGGGGAATGCCGCTTCACAAACTTGTTGTCTTTTTGTCTTTTGCTATTTCCTCATTCATTCACACTGCTCTGCCATCTCTTCCTACTCTCATCGTGGTTTGATATTTCTCCAAAAAAAAAAAAAAAAAAACATCTAGAAAAATGGATGCTACCAGAAACAAGCCCCAAACTCCACATGATATGGACACAAGAACCTCCTGAAAATAATTTTAGGAGCATTTGAAATTCTGCATGTTTTCTCCACTCTTACCCAGCTGAAGGCTGCTGGTGTGTCCTGCTGCCTTCCCTTTCTTTCTGGTCCCATCACTGTCACCACGGGGAGCCCAACTTTGCCTGTCCCCTATCCTTGTCAGAAACTCTGAGAGCCCCTGCATCTTCCAGGTCTGTACTGCTCATAATTTTAACACCATGTGTCCTCTGGTGTCAAAAAATGAGTCCATGCATGATCTGCCTGTAATTTGAACTTTTAAAACACATCTACTTTCTAAATTTCAAACCCTTTAAAAATAACTATTACATTTCATTTCTGCTAAACAGTAATATTTGTTAGGAGATACCATACTCTTCTGCGCAGAACTGGAGGGCATTTTGGTCTGAATTGCATACAATTCTGAGAGACCTTTTCATGACATTTCTTTCATTTGCTCAGCAAGTGATTGCAAAGGATGGAGGGGCACAGCAGTGTCTGTTCTGTAGACTATTGCCTGTAGCTGCTCCTTGTATGCCTGATGCTGTTGCCTGCCAGGTGTCCTACACATGAAACAGAATGCAGTATACACAGCACAAGGTGAAAAAGCAAAGATACACTAGCCAAAGGCAAATACTTTCCAAAGCTGAGCATTATCTTACTATTGTGGCAGTTTGATGAGCACAGTCTTTATTGGTTGAGCGCTCTGTGTGCAGCAGCAATGTGACCTTCCAAAATTGTTCTGTCCAGCTGATCAGGTTATGGGATTCAATAGGAAACTCAGTGAACCATGAAGATCATGGGCCTGTAGCACATCCCTGCAGGGCAGATAAACAACCCAAACCAGAGCAGTAGGGCTTGATAGCTTTATATTTAATGCCAGAAATCCTTACACCATCCTTACTCTCATTTTGATACACTCATGTCAGCGAGGTACAGCTAAAGGACAATCACGAAGAAGGCAACGGTGAGCTGGCCTTTGCAAGCCAAAGCAGGCACATTTCTCTCAGGCAGCATCAAATCCAGTCTTACTGCTGAGCTGTGTGTCATTCAGCCTACATGACTGAGAAAACCCTAGGGAAAACAGTGATCTTCAAGACTGGGCTCCTCAGGGCTGAGAAGATCCCGCTGCAGACAACTTACAGTTAGATGAATGTGTGCTACAACCCCATCGCATCCATACCAACATAACCTACTTCCATCGCTCAGAAGGAAAAGGGTCTCTCTGGTGGCTCAGTTCCCAGGACAATGCCTGTTCTATCCAATAGGTCAGGAACAAACCTCACAGGCATCCCCTATTCCTGCTGTGTACAAACTGGTTCTGCTGCCAGCCAGCATGCAGCTTAGGAGAGGAACACTGGGTGGAAAAGCAGCATGAAAGAAAATCAGCCTTGGAAAATTTGGATTTAAGAGCTTGATAGCGGCCTCAAATGTGGATGCTGAACGCAATGGAGGTGTTGCCAGGATGTCCTGAGCTATTTAGGACAGCACTGTGCTGCCTCATACAGCAGGATCCTGGTCCGTGACCAAGTACAAGTGTAGGAATCTTGCAGCAAATTGAAAAGCAGTATCTCATCCTTGTTTGGACTGCATTGGTAATTAATACAGATGAGCACTTAGGGGACTGCTCTGTACTACTGCTGGAATTAATGAGTGCCATCCAACCTTAGGGAGGAGAGCAAATGCTGACAGGCCCCGCTCTCTCAGGCTCAGAGGTGTGCTGGTCTCACGGGTGCCTGGTGTGACTGCACTCCGAGCCAGACCCCACTGACGCAAGCAGGAATGGACTGCACGGCGTGGCTGAACCACCTCGACTCCTCCCAGGGATTTGCTGATGTAAAAGATTAGCAGAAGAGGTGATACATTTGTGCACCTGGAAATAGCTGACAACAGCTTGCTGCAGCCACCTGCTCATACCAACTCCTCCTGGTGCCAACAGGAGGGGCGGCAGGAGGCCGTGGCTCCTGCTGTTACTTCTCTAACGTGGCAGAGAATCCTAACTGTTCTATTCTCTCTGTAACCTGGAGCTAACACGGATTTTGGCACGGTGGCTGCGGTAGTTCGAGGCGAGGGCGGACCAGGGTAAAAAGGTATGAATGCAGGAGGGCAGCTCAGACGCTTGCGGGGCTTCAAAAGCCTTTTCATCCCTGTCACATCTTGATGTACAGGAGATGGTCGTTAACGTCCCGTCGAAAGCCGGCGCGTGCCGCTGCCTTCAGGCCCCATCTCAGCCGGCGGGACACTGACGGCGGCCGCCGCCGGCCCCGCAGCAGCCCGACTCCGCGGCGCCCCCTGCCGGCCGGCCGTTGCCCCGCAGTCTCTGGGCGTGGCCGCCCCCCGCGGCGCGCAGCGGCTGCCAGGTACCGCGTCCCTCCGCCCGCCATTGTGGGCTGCCGCGGCTCCGGCCGGCGCGACGCGTGGAGCGGTCCGGTCCGTCCCGTCCCTGCGGTCTCCGCCGCCGCCGAGTCCGCGGCAGGAGGAGGGGCCGGCATGGAGGGCGACGGGCCAGAGCCGGAGGTGAGCGCGGGGCTCGGGGGAGCGGCTTTGTCCGGGGCTGTCGGCTGAGCCGCGCTTGGGATATTTGTATTTTTCTGTCATTTTTTTCTGTTTTCTTTCCTTTACTTGTTTGACGGCTCGGAAGTTATTTGCGAATAGATCTGAGAACGGGGCGGCGGTGGGCAGCGCCGTGCTGGCGGTGATGGGTGGCCGGGATCGGCTCGCCTGTCGCGCTGCGCTGCCGCCCGCACGGTCCGGACGTGTTCGGCTCCAGCTGCTGCACTGGGCAAACCGCGGCAGCTCCGGCGCCCGTCAGAGAGCTGCACGGAGAGGAGACCGGCTGTCTGGCCGATTGGACACTTGTTTGTTCATTTTTCCCTTCCCGAAAAGCAAGCAAGCCGACTTAAATGTGTGGCTTGCTATTGTTAAGAAGCATGGTTGCTTTCGATCCTCTGTGTCCCTAGGTGCAATTAATCCTATATGTCTTCTTTCCTTCCCTGCAATGCAGACGTAACCTAAAGATGAACCAAGTTCGTGTAGAAGCCGTGTGCTTTTCAGCTGCAAGGAGCACTCTCATAAATGTTAATAAAGATTTGTTTGCACTGCTAAGCGGAGCACCGCCTCGGGACAGCTAAAACCAACCGTCATTCTGCGGAGCTGGGGTTTGGTGACATGAGCAGGGACAACATCACTCAGAGGGTGGTGATGCACTGGAACAGGTTGCCCAAGGAGGCTGTGGATGCCTCATCCCTGGAGGCATTCAAGGCCAGGCTGGATGTGGCTCTGGGCAGCCTGGTCTGCTGGTTGGCAACCCTGCACATAGCAGGAGGTTTGAAAGTAGGTGATCACTGTGGTCCCTTTCAACCAGGCCATTCTATGATTCTATCACTATGAACATGCAGTGTTTTACAGCTTGTGCTTTCTGCTTGGTTTTCTCCTCTTTCTGTCAAAGGTTGCTACCAAAAGTATTGAAAGAGAACTCATCTGCCCAGCATGCAAGGAGTTGTTCACCCACCCGCTGATCCTTCCTTGTCAACACAACTTGTGTCACAAATGTGTGAAAGATATACTGTTCACAGTTGAAGACTCGTTGGCTGATGCAGGTTCTGAATCCTCAAATCAGAGCAGCCCGCGGTTCCGAATCTCTTCTGCTAGCTTGGACAAGATTGACAGAATTAGTAGATCAGGTATGTGTCAGAGCTTTACATGTTTTTCTAATGTTATATATTAAGTTGACTTGAGCTGAATGGTATCTGCATGGATAAAATGTCTTCTCAGTTCTCCTGATGTGGTTAATTAGATGCCTTAGGATAGCACCAATCTCATTCATTTTGTGATAAGAACAGTGGGAAGGTTTTTATTTTAAAGACAAGGCATTTCACACAGAATACACAGAATTTGTCTTTGTGGCATCCTGTCAATGTCTGTAGCCACTGCCTGTTTATTTCAAATACTGTTGGGCACCGAGGTATAGATGTCAACAGTTTTGTTGTCCTCCCAGATTTCAACCAGCCTGAATTCTGTAGTTTGGAATTCCTTCTAAGTCTTTAAGGACTTCTCAAATAATAGTTGCCCATTTCATGATGTTTGCAGTAAATTGTTTTCTGTAGATGGTGACTATTGGGTGATTGTAGAACTGGAGGATGTGGCTATTTAGGAGATTGTGCTAGCAGTCTCTTTCAGTGTTTTGCTCAAGGCTTTAAGGTGCACTTAGCTTGAGGACTCGTAACACTTTGTGGTATTGTGCTATACAGATTCTTACTCTGACTGTACTCAGCTGCCTCTGTAATTCAGGGATGAGGTGATCAGATTTTATGCAGATACACTGGAGGTATTTTATGCATGCCATGCATCTTAAAAGAAATCTCATCTCGGCTTTTAGACTTCATGCTGGAAAAATTGCCCACTATAAAACCACATTCCACAATGCTCCAGAAGAGTCATGTGCAAAGACACACCCTAAATCTATTTGCATTTCATGTTCACAGTTGTCCCCTTGCCAGTTTTCAAAGTTCAGATGCCACTGCTTTCACTTACGTGACACTTTGCTTTATTCAGCTGTTCCCTGAAATGAGTTTGATAAGTAAATGCTGTGCTTGCCATAGCTTGGCTGACTTTGCTTGAAGGAATCAAACTGCTAGTTATCTTCATTCCAGCCCTGTTCAAGGATGTGGTGTGGACAGCCTTGAGGAGACTGATCTCTGTACACAGTCCATTGCCTTCCTCAGCTGCAGTTTCACAGGAGCTCACTGGTAACTGTGTTTTTCCAAGTGGAAGTCTGTTCACTTTTCCCCTCCCCAGTAAACCTGGTGTTCTGGCATTGCTTCGCATGCATGGACTAAGAGCCTCCCTGGCTTTGCAGCTCTCATTTTTGACAAGGTAGGTATCGTAGCCCCAGGCTGAGTGCCTAGAAGGTGGTGAATGCACCGTGGGTGACCTCCTTGTGAGAGACAGCATAGGAAGTGTGAAGATGCTGTGCCTTGGGAGCAGCATTCTTGTGCTGCACTTCTTCTCTGTCCTGTTAACCCACCTTCATCTTGCTCTCCATCACTAGTAGAAGCAAGGACCTGATGTGATGTAGCCCATCTTAGTGTGCAGCACAATCCACCCTGCATGTTGAAGGAGGCAGAGGTTCCTCTGAGGAGCTAGCACTGGATGACTATAAGAAACCAAATGCTCTCCCATCCCCCTGTGTGACTGTTTTGGAGGGGAGGAGAATTTCAGAGGTTCAGTAGCCAGTGTTTCTAGGGTTCAGTTTCCAGTTTTGCAGTAGTAGCTGCCTGTTTTTTTTTCACAGGGTTACATGTACTGTTTTGTTAACACCCCTGACAGCAGGACAGGAAAGACCCATTTGTGATGTTCCTGCACCATTGAGATCTATGCCATCTGCTTATTGCAGGTGTTGTCATCTTCACAGTCTTCTGCCACCCTTCCAGCAGATAGAGTGTCATGTGTGTTATCTCCTGATCTGACTTGTTAGCTGGAGGAGATAAATGCTTTGCTAATGTCTTTATACCCTTTCCATGAACTGCAGGAGAGTGTGAGGCTGGGAAAGAATTCTTTTTCCTCCATTCTCCCTAATGAGTGTTGGGCAGAGGCATATCATAGGCAAATTGTCTTCCCAGACATTTTGGATTTGCAAAATGAAAATCATATGGAAATGAGAGCTTTAAAGAACATATTTGAATGTTCAGGTCATGCTGTCTTTGCTTTCTTTGCTTCTGATGTCACAGATATCATGCTCACCTTGCTCACTGAGGTGTGAGCTTTTGTCTGTCAGAAGTTTGGTACTGCTAGTTTTCAGCGTGCATCACGGTTCTGCAGGTGAATGAACTGTACAGGGCATTCCCTGACTTAATTTATTCTGTGACCTTCAGTGGAATTTGTAATAAAACAACAGTAAGAGTGAAAAGACACAAGATAGCAACCTAAGTGAAGCTTCACTTACCTAAGAAAGAAACATGGGTATTTCATGTAGGTGTGTGCACAGCATATCAGCTTTCAAATCACTGTATGTGAAAATGTATGAGGGCTGCTCTGAAAGTGCCTCCTATTTTATCATGTTGGCCCACAACATCAGAGGTTGATGGTATGGCAGGAGAGGTTGACCCTTCCCACCAGTACGTGTCACACTTTGTTGCTGTGTGACAGGTGGCAGGAGAGGGGCAGTCTGACATGGAAGTGCATAAGAAGCAAAGCTCTGTAATTGAATTCCACCATGTGGAAAAAAATGCTCCCATTGGCATTCATTGATGCTTGCTGAATGTTAATGGAGATCAAACAGCGGATGCTAGCACAGTGAAAGTTTGACTGCATGGGCAACATTTTCCTAGCAACAACTCCATCGTAGCAGCTGTGAAGCAGAGTATCACCTCTGCTGGTGCAGATTTCAGTGAGTGCAGCGTGCAGGCTCCTGTTTATCGCTGATGAAAATGCATGGGTAATGCTGATGACTATGTTGAAAAATTGTGTTTTGTCGCAGAGAATGTGTTCCATCAAGTAATGTTATTCTGTTCTTTGCATCTCTGCTGTTTCTGTGGAAGTAAATGGGAGGCATTACTTATGGAGCAACTTAGATATACGACTTCTTCCTCCTGCTGTGATTCAGTTTTTCTTTATTTTTTCGCTTATGGAATCCTTACTGTCTTCACAAGGAGTGCTGTGTTCTTGAAAAGTTTGGGGCATTTAGATGTTTGAGATGCTGGAAAGAATGTGTCTGAATTTGTTATTCATTGTGCATACACATTTTGCATTTATAAATACAATTTGCTTTAATGTGAAAAAGCCAGAACCAGTAGAACTCTTTACTGGGAGCACTAAATGGGAATGTATGTTCTTGTTAAAATCCAACACAGTGTTTTTAAAAAAACTTAATTGTATTTTATAAAGTATTGCTTGCATAAATTGTTGCATATTGAATGGGAATAAAATCTATTTGTTATTCTAATGCATATTCTGTAATATTAGAGTAATTAGCATGTTGGTGTAATTAGGAGGAAGAATGTAGTGTGGCTGTGTTACCGTTTGTGTAGCATTCCTGGATGATGCAGAACTTGAGTATTTAAAATATTTTTTTTCTCCCTTTGTGTTTCTGTTCAAATATTACGGTTGTGTCACCATGTGCCAGGAATTAAATATTCTTTCATTTCAGTCCTGCAGTATTTTAGCAGATCCAGGAGAGACAACAGCCAACACTCTTCATTTGAACCATTGTAAACCAATGGTATATCTCACTTTTTGATTTCTAAACAACTTTCTGTTCATTGTTTGCAGCCTCACAGAGGAGGTCTTTTGGTTGGAGAGGTAGAAATGCTTCACATCTTGTTTTGACTCTAGATAGTGAGGTCTTCAGATCTCAAATATTGCTGGCTAGCATATAGATTTGTCAGTGGTCAAGTCCACAAAGTGGCTTTTGCAGCAAGCAAAGGTACAGCAAAGATCTTAAGAAAGCTTTTCATTCTGACTTAAAGGTCAACTGGACTGGCACTGGGTTTAAGGTGAGAGCTATTTTTTTTGTGTCTGTGCACTGCTGGACATACTTGATAGGTACAAATAATGTAAATTCACTCTTCTGCTTAAAACAAACAAACAAAAAAAACAAGAGTCTATATTCAAGCTTTTTAATTTTCAGGAGTTCACACACTCCATTTTTAGTAAAGCTGCTTTTTTACTAGAAGTGAAGAGTAGTTATTACACTGATCTTTTTAACAATTATAGGTCACCTTTTCATATCACTTTTAAAGTTCCTCATTTTCTCTGAGCCCTCTTAGTTACGTCTGATAAAGAAGCAGATTGAAATTTACACCTTGTTAACTGAATAGGTGTTTCTGGATCTGGCAATTTAGTACGTTGTTTTTATTGTTGTGCAATGCTTTGTCAAAATAAAATAATGTAAAATATTGCTGTGGTATTGATAGGCACTCGAGCAGCCATTACAGATAATGTTCCTTACAAGAAAGGAATGAGCTGAAGCAAACATTAACCTGCATTTCACACTCAGTGTGAGGAACGCAGCAGTTAGGAGAATGTGGGCATTCATTTGCAGCAGGTAAAGACTGAAGGTGTCAGAAAAGAAAGAAACAGCACAGGACTCCACCTGAGTTCTCAGAAAGTCTGTCCTTATCTGCTCTTTTTGCAGAAAACAGTCTTCTTTGGGTAAGATTAAAGTATTGTTTTGTAGCCACTTCTCTCAACTTTTTCTTTCTTCTTAAGCATCCGTCCAAAAGCTGAGTTTGGGGCTGGCAGTAGACATTTACATTTTTTAAAACTTCTAGGAGAATCCAGTTGACTTTTAAAATATTTTTTTCTTTTTTCTTTTTTTTTTTTTTTAACTCACACATTTAATTTTCGTGTTGTCCATAATCACAGAGTGCTGGTGATAGTTTACTTGGAAAACAATTTTTATCTTTAAGATATCTTATCCCTTTACAAACCCACAGCTGTAGGTTGGGCTCTTCTACATTTGAAGTGCTGGCATCTCTTCTTGGGAAGAGAAGTCTAAGCAGTGTCTGTATAAGACATACCCAAGGTTGCTCTTCGACTTGAGTCATCACAGTCTCCATTCTGATATTTGTGAGTTTGGAGACCGAGTATGAGCATGTGCTATGCCTATTCTTTAGTTATTGGTAGAGTTTTCATTACAGGTGAAGTGATCCTATTTATTCCTTGAGGTGATTCCTAGTACTTCACAGAATATAGAGAGAGTATATACTTGTTTTTTGGAAACTGGATTGGCAAACTGTAGAAGACAATATGGAATGGATCTAGGTTCCTCTTGGCCACACATCTAATGTGACTACACAATCTGTGGGTTTTTGTTTTTTTGTGGGTTGATTTGTTTGTTTGTTTGTTTGTTTTTGCTGCATGGAATGCTTGCAGTTCTGTTTTAGCAAACTGCAAGACAGCTAGGAATGACAGTGCTCCAAGTAATTTATCACTTCATGAGTGCTTTCTTTTTAAAATGCAAGCATATAAACCTTATAAGCAGGAATCAGGAAATCGAGGTAGTTCCTGTTGCATATTAGTATATTAACATTGCTTTAAAAGAGGCAAAAAGAGAATGTTTCTTCCTCTAAATATTGATGTGCCATAGCATGCAGTGCTGCTAAGGATGTACTCTTCCAGGTTTTAAAACTGGAAAAAGACAGACCAGGCTCTTGGAGTACAGTCAGGGAAAAGGGATGAGACATCTTAAGAAATGCAGGGCTTGCCTGATGCTGAATGGCTTTCTACCAGCAGTGTCACCAGTCACTGCCAAGCATGGCCTGTGATGGCAGTAATTTTGTCCCATGATGGGCAGAATGAAAGGCCTCAATTGGACTGCAGCAGAGCTCACCTCTGTGTTACCAGTCCCACCTGTGAGCTGCTTTGCCCAGACTTCAAAAGCATGCTCCTGGATGAGAATTTCAAATTGTATTTTTAAACTTGACCACTGCACCATGTTGTCTTTTTTTTCCTTCTTCCATGTTTTGTCATTGCTTGCTCTCTGCTGTAGTGAATTACTTGTAGGTATACATGCAAAGCTGTGCTGTTATTCTTTTAGTTTAATAAATACTCCAAATCCCTTTCTATAGCTTTTGACTGCATGGTGCTGTATGCAAAATCCTCTTTTTCTTCTAGGCCATTGCAGGTGTCTGTGTGAAAGGTGTCTGTGTGGAATGTTGTAAGCTTGGAGCTTACATTTGAGATAAAGTTTGTGTCTCGCTGCTGTTCCTGTGCCTTGCATGTGTGTGTTGCTGTGAATGCCAAGTTACAGATATTGCAGCACACACAGTTTGGGTAATTAATTTGCTTCAAGTACGTACTAGGAAAATTTAAAATATTAAAAACAAAGAAACCAACCAATCAAAAGTAAAAAAAAAAAGCAAAAAACAAAACAACAACAACAAAAAAAACCCAAAACTCACACGCACAAAATCCACACCAAACCTCTGCTTCCTTTAGCCATAAAGCTGTGTATGGTGACTTGAGTCAGCTGTACTGTGATTGGTATGTACAGGAGGGCATCAGACTAACCGAGATTGAGAAACTGAGGCTGCCAGCTTGCACAAACTTACTTACCTTTTGGTTTTTGCTTCTTAGCTGATGGTCATACATGACTATCATGGGACACATTTCAAAGGTTTGTAAAACAACCACTTTCCTATGCTAGTGTTGTTTAGGTTGCTTCTTTGAGAGAGATGGTGAGAGGCTGGAAGAGGCATGACAGGAAGGTGAGCTGTGAAGTGTTGGGTGAAGCAGCCACAGAAGAGCAGTGCAAGCCTAGCATTTTGGGCCGGTGTAAAAGGTGTGCTCAAAAATAAATGAAAGATCAGTACCTTTGAAAGGAAGAAAATGACTAAATACACCTAAGAACAAACTTCTCTTGCTGGAGGATTCATTTATTTCAGGACTAAGAATTTGGGTTCAAGTTATACCTCCTTTATGAACTTCTTAGCTACAGCAGAATGAAATCCTCTCTAAGGGATTTTAAAACCATGGTCTAGCTGCAGAGGGTGTTGGATTTGTTTCTTTGTAGAGGGAATATGCATTAGGCTGAAATGCTGGCTCTGCCTGCTGCAGAGGTACACGAACTACTTTGTGATCATTGTTCTTCCTTGTTGTTCAGGAGTGAGATAGGGATGCAATCCTGCTTCCTAGCTTTAAGAACACTGTGCTGTTCATAGTTTTTGGGTCTGTTTGAGCAGTGTTTGCACATGCTCCAGAGGCTCTTCTAGCTTGCAGTTTTATTAGAGCTTTCAAGCTTCTTATTTTAGAGAGGAGGAGAAAATTGTGTGCAGCTATTTGGAGCTTCTCCACAGTCCCCTTTCAAAATAAAATGAGCTAGACATAAGAGATAGTTACACACTATCTGTGGTTCCCTGATTCAGATTGGAGGAAGCTCTCAAACTTGATCGTCATAGTACGAGCCTTTATGTTTGGGGTTTCTAAGCATTCTTCCTTTATCAGGGCTGTTCAGCTAGAGGAAAACTTTGTCATCCTCTGCATATTTTGCCTAACAGTTCTGGCTGATAGTTCATACTGAAAATAGCTAGCTGTCGTTTTCCTCTTTTAATGGCTTCTCTTGGGATAACCCAGATAAGTGTGTCTCAGCTGAAGAAAACTTCAGGGAGCTCCGAACTGGAATCAGCCATTCTCAGTGGGAATAAGTGTCTTTCACTGGAATGTGTTACAAGCTGTTCAGTCTCTCTTTAGGCAGCCAGTTAGCCTAATGCTGGCTGGTTCCTAAGAGGTACGAAGTGTAGTGTTTCAAAAGGCAACATTTGAATGCATCCCAAACTAGACTGCAAACTACTGCATCATGTTTTAAAGGAGTGCCTTTTTGAAGTTCCCCATGGTATGTAAATAACACAGACTTTATTAGGTTTAGGAAGGTATACATTTGTTCCTGAGTGAACCCTCAGTCTCACTGAAGTAGGTGGCCACACGCTGGGGCAGCTAGCCTCCTGTGCTTTGTGCAGGGATGCTGAGGAGCTCTGAGCAGTAGAGAAATTGTTTTTATTTATGCCTGGCAGTGCAGGACATGCTCTGAGGAAAAACAGTATTGTTGGCAAAGTTGATACAAGAAGCAAAGCTGTAGGAAGCAGAAGGTAGAATTGGAACAGTTAACTTCATATTGACACAGTTAAGTTTTGGACTAGTTTGTAATATTCTCTGGTCTCAAACATTACAGTACTTTGTCATGGCAAATCTATTCTCTTTGGCTTGGCAGAGTGTTTATAAATTAGTATTGTATTAGTTTGGATGACATCCCATGATAATCTGGGATTTGTTCATAAATTCTTGCACTTCTCTTTTTATGATCTGAAACTCTTCTGTTTATGCTCCTGCTAATCAAGATTTGCTGTCTACACAGGCAGAAAACGCAACTCTCTGACTCCTAGAACAACTATGTTTCCTTGTCCTGGCTGCCTGCATGATATTGATCTTGGGGAACGTGGTGTCAATGGCTTATTTCGAAATTTTACTTTGGAAACAATTGTGGAACGACACCGACAGGCAGCCAGGGCAGCCATAGCTATTATGTGTGACTTCTGCAAACCTCCACCTCAAGAATCCACAAAAAGCTGCATGGACTGCAGTGCAAGCTATTGCAATGAATGTTTCAAGGTACACCATCCCTGGGGAACTGTAAAAGCTCAGCATGAGTATGTTGGACCAACCACCAACATCAGACTTAAAGTAAGTACACCGGATCTTAGGGAATTTTGATTGCTGTGTTCATGTATAGCTTCAGACATGTTTGTGCTGTGGCAGTTGATTTTTAGAACCACTGTTGTTTTATTTACTTCTGCTGTCATTTGAATAAATGATAAGCTTTTGTTTGTTGATGCCAGAGTGGCTTGAACATATTTGAAGGGGATTCTAAGCATTTTGTTTTATTTCAGTTAATGGATTGTTTTTATACATTTATTCATTTACGTTAAGACATAATGATTTTGAGCACCTATAATTGTCCTAATTGTCACACATCCTTGTAGATTTGTTGCTTGTAAGCAGAGAGGGTTTTCTGAGTGAATTGGCAGCTGGGGGCTGTCTTTCCACAGTGACCATGAAGTATTGAGTTAAAAATCTTTGGTGAAAGGAGGAAAACTGCCACCAAAACTTCAACCCTGGATGTGGGGAGAATAGACTTCAGGCTTCTCAGGGAATTAGTTGGCAAAGTCTCCTGGGAAACTGTTTTAGAAGGCATTATGGTCCGTAGGTACTGGAGTGAACAACACTAAATTAGGAGATGTTGATTCCCTTGAGAGCCTTGCAGAGGGACCTTGACATATTGGAGGTCTGGGCAATCATGCTGCCAACTGCATGAAGTTTAACAAGAGCAAGTGCTGGATTCTGCATGTGGAACAGGATGAGCCTGGTTCTGTGTACAGAGTAAGGAATAAGAGGCTGGAGAGAAGCCCCAGAGAAAGGGATCCAGTGGTTCTGGCTGATGGCTAGTTGAATGCGAGCAGGTGCTGATCTGTGCTCTCTGGTGACAGCAACAGAAGCCTAGGTAACAGCATGGAGCTGCATCAGCGGAGGGTCAGGCTGGGTTTTAGGAAAAGGTTCTTCACCAGAGGGTGGTGGCATGGAACAGGCTCCCCAGGGCAGTGGACGTGGCCCTGAGCTGCCGGAGTTCAAGGGGCATTTGAGTAAATCTCTCACATACAGGGTTTGATTTTTAGGTGGTGCTGTGTGGAGGCAGGAGTTAATCTTGATGATCCTTGTGGGTTCCTTCCAACTCAGAATAGGCAGTGATTCTAAATGTCATGTCAAGGAGGATGCCTGTGTATGACAAACAGAAAAACAAACAAACAGAACACAACCAAACAAAACCCTATGCATGAGGATAGTTCCCTTTGCATGTTTTGAGCCTGAGCTTAATCCTACCCAAAGCATCTTTTTTGTCTTATTCCTCCTTGCACTGAATAATAGCTGGAGGTGAGACATCAGGTCTCCGCTACTATTAGGTACGCCCTTCTAATTCTTCTTTCTAGCTAAAGACAACAATGCAATTGCAAATTTTTTACTTTACACACTACTGCTATATTCAGACAAAACACAGTACCTGCAAGCTGCTGCCACTTTTGTTTCTCTTGCTAAGTGTGATGCAGGACGTGAGTGTACCTAATTAAATTCAAGTTACACAGGAGGAATTGTCACAACTGCCCTCTCTCTAGCAAAAAAACCACAGTAAGTCTCAATAAGCAAAAAAACACAGTAAGTGTCCCAGCATTAGCTACATGCGTGTGTTTAGTGACAAGAATTGTGCTGTGGGCTGACTTGTGAATTTCCTAGTAGCAGCAGTGGTCACTTGATGAAGCACTCCAGAAGTGCTTGGATGTTGCTAGGTTTTGATCCCATGCAGGTGGTATCACAGTGAATCACTCCATGTATTTGGGGCCAGAGTGTGGGAGAAAACTTGATTAAAAGTAGCCCTAGTGTGTTGCTTCTGTCTCCTGTACAGAAGCATGGGGGAAGACTTTTAAGTGTTATCAATAGTAAATCTCTCATTATTTTTTTCAAGACTAGGGAAAGAAAAGTGCATTTTTAAATTACGGTACATTGTTAAGACCAGAACTGAATGAAAGAGTATTTGTGAGTCTTCTAAATAATGTTCCTGGTTGTATCATTATTTTAAAACTAGACTGCAGAGCACTTTGTAACATGTGGTGGGGATGTGAGAAGTACACAGTAGACTGATCTTGAATTTTTAGAGAGCTAGACAAGATAATCTGCTTTTTCTGTCTCTAATTTGCAGGCTACACTTGATTTATGCAAGAGGTAAATAAAAGTATTTGGGTTCTGTTAAGTGTGGCCAGACAGTGCTGTGGAAAAATGACTTCCATGGGATAGGAGATGATTACAGTTCTTTGGAGATACCTTTTTCCACAGCTGATTTTGCTGAAAGTTTTTTCTTCCTTTTTTTTTTTCTTTTTTTTAATTAAATCAACGAGACAGTGACAAATGGGTAGCTTATCATGTGTTCTGCTTAATGATAATACTGTATACCAAGGTGCTAGTGAGACTAGTGTCTTTTGCCTTCTCACTATAGCCCAAGATAAAATATGGTCTTGAGAGCTGTTTTCAGGGATGGTCAGCAGTTTTCATTTAGTGTGTCCATATTTATGCTACTGGATTTTTTTCTTTATTTTGGCTCTTCTGTTTTTCTCTTCGCCCCCTTTTTTGGTGTGTTTGTCTGCTGTTCGAACTTGGAGTTGGACATTTTTCTCCCTCATTTAGCAGTTACTCCAACATCTACATTCAGTTTTTGAGAGATGATTGTTAGTGAGTGCCAGACTTTTCAGAATATTGAGGCTGATACTTGAGTGAACAATTGTAATTGGAATCAGATGGGAAACAATAAATGAAACAGAGCCTTTTATCTTTAAACAGACTGTGAGTGATGTTAAAGGCTGTATTTCACTCCAAGAGCTATAGCTATGTAGCCATTCTGAGCCTAGTTTATATTTAAATCACTCCTGTATTATGCCAACTCTTGCTTTAAGAAACAAATCGTAGCTCTTTTGAGAGAGAACTGAGGTGCTGACCTGGAGCCAGTAGAATTTGAGAGGGTGTTGTATATATTGCATTTACAGTTCTGAACATGGCTAGAGGTATTTTACAGCATGCAAAGAACTTCAGAGATTAGCAAGCAATATGGAGGCTACTTCATGTGTACATAGATAGAATATTGTGGACAAATATAAAAATATGGCATGTAAGTTGAATATATCAAAAATCCATTGTATGAATCAGGTGCTGCCTTGGGATGGCTGTTTGTTTTAATGGTTTCTTTTTGGAAATACTCTTTCATTCTTTGCTCTCTTTTTTAGATTCTGATGTGTCCAGAACATGAAATGGAGAAAGTGAACATGTACTGTGAAATCTGCCGAAGGCCTGTCTGTCATCTTTGTAAACTGGGTGGATCTCATGCAAACCACAGGATAACAGCAATGAGCACTGCCTATAAAACTCTGAAGGTAAAAGTAAACGTTGTTTGACCTGAACTTAAGAAGAGAAAGTACACTGAGCTTCTGTTGTAAGGGCAAACTGTGGCAGGAAGCCTGCACGTGTCGTTGGAGGACATTGGTCATGAGGCATGCTGTTGTGCAAGCTCTATTAGTGTACATATTAATGTGACTTAGCACATCGGAGAAAATAATTTTTCTGTGACCATTTCACAGTGCTTCCCCTTAATTTAGCCATTTGTGCAGCAGTACTGACCTTTTAGATAGTTTAACCCATTAACAGTTTGCAGTCCAGCTAGTGCCACTGGATAATTTTAGGCTGGTTCCCTTGTGTCTTTAGTGAACTGACACTTCAAAAGCACGTCAAAACAATTTGAAACTGAAGTGTCTCATGTGACCTTGCATGTTGCTGAAGCTGCGTAGCTGTTAATTAACGAAGTATAGTACAATAAAGAAGACTTGCAAACATTGTTTTGTTACTACAAAATGATTGCTGCTATCTTTTCCCCTTTCTTCTTCTCTAGCTCTTATCCACAAAAAACTGGGGAAGAGGAGAAGAATGGGGAAAAAAAAAAGAGAAAAGGGGGAAAAAAAAAAAAGAGACAAACATTTTTTCTTTCTACTTTTTGACCTCCTTGCTTATTTGCAAAGCTGTTCCTGTACTGATGTTAACTTTTGAAAATAGGGAAGTGCAGAGACGCAGATATGAGTGGTTTGAAGCAGAGCTTTTCTCTAATAAATCTTACTAGAAATGAATTGATAACTGGCAGGGCTTTTCTGTAAGTTGTAATAATGTTCCTAAGCCTCTGGTTCCTCAGCCAAAGAGAAGATGACTTCTCTGGGAAGGAATGAGTCTTCTTAAGTTGCTTTGTGTTGCTTGCTGTCAGTGTGGTCATTTAGAGAAACTCAGCAGTTCTTTACAGTGTTGACTCACAAAGACTTTGACACTGTCTCCTGCAGTATTCCCCTGGGGAAGCTGGTACCCCATGGCTTGGACAGATACACTCTTTGCTGGGTAAAAAACTGGCTGGATGGCCAGGCCCAGAGATTGGTGGTGTTAAATCCAGCTGGTGACCGGTCATGAGTTGGTGTTCCCCAGGGGTCAGTATTGGGGCCTGTCCTCATCAATATCTTTACTGATGACCTCGATGAGGGGATTCAGTGCACCCTCTGTAAGTTTGCAGATGACACCAAGTTCTGAGAAAGTGTTGATCTGCCTGGGGATAGGAGGCCTGTCAGGGGGATCTGGACAAGCAGGATTGCTGGGCTGAAGCCAGTGGGATGAAGTTCAACAAGACCAAGTGCTGGGTCCTGTGTTTTGACCACAGGCAATGCTACAGGCATGGGGCAGAGTGGCTGGAAGACTTCATAGAAGAAACAAACCTGGGGGTGTTGATCAATGCTTGGGTAAACATGAGTCAGCAGTGTGCTATATGCCTGAGAAGGCCACTGGCAGCCTGGCTTGTATCAGAAACACTGCTGACAACAGGAACATGGAAGTGATCATTCCTCTGTACTCAGCATTGGTGAGGCTGCTCCTTTAGTACTGTGTTCGGTTTGGGCCTCCCATACAAGAAAGACACTGAGGCCCTGGAGCGTGTTCAGAGAAGGGCAATGAAGCTGGTGAGGGGTCTGAAGCACAAATCTTCTGAGGAGCAACTGAGGGAGCTGGGATTGTTCCGTCTGGGTAAGAGGAGGCTCATGGGTGACATTATTGCTCTCCACAACTACCTGAAAGGAGGTTGTGGTGAGGTGGGGGTTGGCCTCTTCTTCCATATAACTAGCGATAGGATGAGAGAGAATGGCCTCAAGTTGTGCCAGGGGAGATTCAAGTTGGATATTAGGAAATACTTGTTCTCTAAGAGTGTGGTCAGGCACTGCCTCAGGCTGTCCAGGGAGGTGTTGAAAAAATGTTCAGATGCTGTACTGAGGGACATGCTTTAGTGGGAAATTTTGGTGGCAGGTGTACAGCTGGACTAGATAAGGTCTTTCCAGCCTTGGTGATTCCCTGATTCTATGACTTTGACTGATAGTAGGCTGCCAGCCTTGCTACAAGGTAAACAGAATATTTACTAAGTGACTTATTCCTGCTGTTGACATGTTTGGTTTGTAAATCCTTGATCTGATTGTTTGCTATTCTGTTTTAATAGGAAAAGCTTTCAAAAGATATAGAGTATCTCATCAGTAAGGAAAGCCAAGTAAAAGCTCACATCTCACAGCTGGGTCTGCTGCTGAAAGAAACAGAGGTAATAATGATTTGCTGTATATGAAGGGGTAGTCCTTGAAGGGACACAGCAAGGGCTGGAGCTGTTTCCAGCACAGTTTTTCACTGGCTATATTGAGGGCCAGAGGGTTAATTTGAAACAGTTTCTGTAAAAGTTGTGTTAGTCTTCTCACTTTAAAGCCATTCTGTCAGTGTGGGAAATTTAGGCAGTGTACAGGGGAAGGGGAAGTTTTGGTTTCCAGTGTAAATTTGAAATAAGGCTTATTTGATACTTCAATCAAAGATAGATGAGTTGGACTTAATGCTCTCTGTATTAAAGGAAATGCACTGCTTATGTTTTTTAATTATTTTGAGGATGTTGCAGTGAAGTCAGTTAAGATAAAAAATTCTGCATAGAAGACAAAGCATTCTTTGCATGCAAAATGCAAAACTGACAGAAATTGTAGGAGCTCCTGGCCCTGCCCTTTCCTGGGTGCAGATCATATCTGTGCATCAATCTGAGGTACTATTCAAGAGTGGTTCTGTTGCTCCAAGGGAGTTGGGTGTTGCGACATGACAATGGGCTACCCTGGGAAACATACAGAAGTCACAAGGTTTGAGATCCCCTTTGGTAAATTAAGATGAAACAACACCAAACAATCAGTTAAATATTTGCTTGGATCTCACTATGATACTTAGATTTATGTCTGTGTCTTATTGGCTATGAGCTATGACGATATGCCTTGCATTACAGCCCTTGGATTCAGCAGTGTCACAGCAATCAGGGTTGTTTATCTGGTGCTGAACACACACATGCCTGAACTAGCAGTCTTTTGACTTCTGTGTGCTCACAGTCCCCACCACTAAAGTGGAGCTCAAGTTACAATTTGTGCAGTTCCACTGAGCATGTACAGTCCTTCTTCAGAATGTACCAGAAATGAGCTGGAGTCTCAAGTGGTTGTGAGACTGAGGTACTACACTACAGCTGCTTAAGCTCAGTTTGAGATTTAGAATATGCTGGAAATTGGTCAGTGGGTTTGAGGGTCTTCTTCCCACTACCCAAAGGACTTTGTTGAGCATCTTTCCCTCCCCCAGTATGTTCTCCTGATGTTGCTGAACAGGTCTTCACAGTTTCACAAGATAAGGAAATCCATCTGGAGAAGTAGTCTCCTCCTCCAGCATCTCCTTATCACCTACCAAGTGTTTAGGACTTTAAGACATTTGCTTCTTAAAGTGAGAAGTATCTTGGGCAGGAAGGCTTCAGACCCACCTGCTTTTATAGTGCTTTTCTATGAGCAAGTTAGGCAGAGAGATGTCCTATATAATAAAGGGCATAATCTGAGAAATAATTTCTTGCTCTTCATTCTCAGTGTTAAGATAGTAAATATATACTAGCTTGGGTGCTATGTTGCTTGTCTTTTCAGTTCTTTAACAGTATAACAAAGCTGTAAGTCTTTAAACAGATGATTAAATTGCTGTTATAGTTTGTAAAAAAAAAACAAAAACAAAAAAAAAAAAAAAACCTGTGTGTTTCCTTACACAGACACAGAGCTATGAGATTGGTTTAAAATGCATTTTGTTCTTTCCTAGTGCAATGGGGAAAGAGCTAAAGAAGAGGCATCTCAGAGTTTTGAGAAATTAATTAATATCCTGGAGGAGAAGAAGTCTGCAGCTCTTAGGGCAATTGAAGTGTCTAAGAATTTAAGGCTGGACAAATTGCGAACCCAAGCAGAAGAATATCAAGGTCTCCTGGAAAATAATGGCCTTGTAGGATATGCTCAAGAAGTGCTTAAAGAAACTGATCAGTCCTGTTTTGTTCAAACAGCAAAACAACTTCACGTCAGGTATCTTGGTTATCGTCTGGGTTAGATACAGGTTCTGCTGCTGCAGGATGTCTGGTCAAGTAGGTTATCATCTTAACACTTGCTAGCAGAGTTCTGGGTGTAGTACGTTTTATAGCAGAACCTCATAACCAGTCCTGGTGCAGTTCAGAAGAGATTACTTCAGAAGAAGTGTGTGTTTAGAAGTGGCACGCCAAAGGGATTCTGTCCTTCTAAAGCATCTAGCTCTGCTTACTAGAACTGCAGTGGAAGGGCAGTCTGTTCAGCTCACTGACACATTCTTTTGCGCAGTGATTATATCAGCTATTTGCAAGTTAATCTAACAGGTCTCTTCTGACTTTACACTTCCGATCTTAATAGTTAGTCACAGTTAGCACTTCACATCTGTTTTGTTCATCAAACAGAATGCAAAAAACTTTATCTGCTATTTTAACTTCTACTTGTTCACTATCCTTACCTTCATGTGCATAAGGATTTTAATCTTTGCATTTAAATTCTGCCTAGTAAAGAAAGTGAGACTTCAGTAAGTAAAACCTAGCATTTTTGTTTTTAGAAATGTACACTTATACATTCCCTTCTCTTTTGTCTGCCATCCCTCCACTCCTGTGTTTTCAGAATCCAAAAAGCTACCGAATCTCTGAAGAGCTTCCGGCCAGCAGCTGAAAGTTCTTTTGAAGATTTTGTGGTGGACACAACCAAGCAAGAAGTGATCCTTGATGACTTATCCTTCTATTCCAATGGTAAGTTGTGAGAACATCAAGCCTTTGTTGAGTTACAGCTTTAAGAGCTTCTCTAGAAAGGGCGAGAATTTATGCATGGCTGCAGTTGCAGATCTCAGTGAGGTACCCTGACTTGCACTGATCCTTCTGCCTTCTTGATTCACACAGCATTACCTATCAGCATTACCTAATTGCTCTGACAGGCAAGCTGGGATGTCATCAACTTCAGTACCAGTTTACATTGGTTTCTAAAATATTGTAGTTAAGTAATACTTAATTAAGTCTTAGTGGAAGCTTGTTGTTGTGTGTGCAGAAAAAAATGCGCATTTTTAATGCTGTTAGTTTTTTTTTTCAACAGCTTGCACAAATTAATAGCTCAACTTTCAAATTAAAAGCAGAAACTAAAGAATTCATTTGAGTGCAGAAACACAGGCAGTGTCACCTTTAACTGTGCAAATCAAATTATTTTCTACTCTGCTAAGCTCCTGAGCAAAGAATGGTATAGATCACTCTAAAACAATGTATATCTAAACTTCTGGATTTTTTCTCCTGAATTTATGGCCTTCCAGGTCTGGAAATACCAGAAATCAATGAGGAGCAATGCAGAATGTATAACAAAGCTGTGATCAGTTGGGAGTCCTCCAGGAAGACAGACTCTGCTGATATGTATGTTCTTCAGTATCGCAAGCATAGTAGAGAAGAGGAGAGTGTGATGTGGCAGGAGGTTGAAGTTTACAGCAAAAGCAAAGTCATATCTGATCTTGATGATGACAGTAGCTACGCCTTTAGAGTTCGAGGATACAGAGGGTCCATGTGTAGCTCGTGGAGCAAAGAAGTTATTTTGCGTACACCTCCTGCTCCAGGTACTGGGTTTTCTTATGTCCACCTGCACTGGAAACCATCTATCGTTCCCAGACTTCTATCCCATTATCTGTTGTATATATATATATGTATAGAAGCACTATAATAAACAGGTTAATTATCATATTGCAATTATTAGCGTGCATGACAATCCTAATAGCTTTTCATAGTGAGAATTTCTAATGCCAATGTATGTTAAGATGCAGTTTATAAGTACAGAAAGCCAAAAAATATTTAACTAACAGGAAATTCTTGGAATACTATTTTTCAGTTCTTAGCTTTCTTTTTGATGACAAATGTGGGTACAACAGTGAACATCTCCTGCTGAACCCAGAAAGAACCTCTGTGGAAAGCATGGCTGGATTTCCTTTACTGCTAAGAGCTGAATGCATGCATTTTGGATGCTACACAACCCTGAATTACATCATTGGTGACACTGGTATTGCGAAAGGGAAGCACTTCTGGGCTTTTCATGTGGAAGCCTATTCTTACTTGGTAAAAGTGGGAGTTGTTTCTAGCACCAAGATACAGAAATTTTTCCACAATACACATGATGTGACAAGCCCAAGGTAAATTCCAGGCATGTGCATGAAACATGTTTTGTACAAGAAGATGGTTGCGTTTATTTTGTTTTATTTTGTTTTATTTTATTTTATTTTAATAATTTAAATGTAGTCTCAATGAACAAACTTGAACCTAACCAGTGGAAAGTAGCTTGAAGCAATATGATAAATGCAGGTTGTCCTATTCCTTTTCTTGTTCCTTGCTGTCAGTAGAGAGCTTGAATTACTCAGGATCCCATCATTTTTCTTTTATGGAAAGAAGTCAGGTTTGTACAAACATTGAGATCCATCAGTTAAAGCAAGAAGGTGAAAAGAAATCCATTAGCTGTGAGACTGAAGCAATTCCTGGTTACCATTAGGCAGACCATTAGCATGGTAGATTGTCAGCTGTTCAGAGGTACAAAGTTCACAGAGCTGTCTTGTCTGTGTAGTAGCTTGCATCATGGTGGATTCCAAGTTGCTTGCATATCGTTTTTGGATTGCTGCTGAGCAGAAGTCAGAATACTTTGAAGAAACTAGCACAAGGGTTTCCAGTTCTCAATTACAGCTACAGTAAACCCAAATATATCTAGAAATGGAAGGCTGGGAAGGTATTGTCTGAAGACTGTAGCTTTATAAACAGGTGTATTGGCTTCTTCCTATACAACGTAAAAAATGCTCATATCTTAAGTTGCTTAGTGTAGTGATGTCAGTGTAATATGGCAGTTGCATGGAAACCTCTTAGATCAAGAGTAATGTTAGATGTATTTATTGGTGTTATTTAATGTTATGTAAATAAAGTTAAACATATCCTGCCTGTAATGATAAATCATATTTGCAGAACTATCTGTCAAGTTACCTAATTTACTGTACCTGGCAGTTCATTAATCATTACCTAGCGTAAGTAGATTTAGATAAACTTGGAACTTAATGGCTCCTTAGCAAAACCTTCTGTTGTCTCACCCTCATTAGTTCAGCTCCTGTCAGCTGTTTCAAGCAGCCCAAGTAGCTGTTCACTTACGAAATGTATCTTTCCTTCCAGCAATGTTATATTTTTACCCTACAAGCTTTTGGTTTTTGTATTGTGTTACCCGTCTTACAGAAATGTTTTCTCTAGCTCACATTGCAGACAGTATTTGTGAATCTCAGAAGAGCAAATGGTTGTTTTTCTGTTCTAGATCTGAACATGACAGTGGTCATGACAGTGAGAGTGAAGATGCCTGTTTGGATTCATCACACCCTTTCACACTGGTCACTTTGGGCATGAAGAAGTTTTTCATCCCCAAGGCAGCTGCTGACCCAAGGGAAGCTGCTGACCCCAAGGATTCAGCAAGTAGAATCCTTCCCCTGCCCTCCTGCATGGGGATCTGCCTTGACTGTGACAATGGCAAGGTGGGCTTTTATGATGCCAACCACATGAAATGCCTGTATGAGTGTGAGGTAGAATGCTCAGGCATAATGTACCCAACATTTGCCTTAATGGGTGGTGCAGCAGTTCATCTCCAGGAAGCCATCCCAGCAAAGTACTTGGAATACCAAGATGACCTGTAGGCTAGTGATCTCCTGATGCTGTTCTGAAATTAAAAATAATAGCAGAAGCATTTTACCTTAGTTTTCAGTCCTGATTCAAATACAGTATACCTAAGTGCTGTACACGAGCCTTTGGTTCACACTTCTGTGTTGCTTTGTTTGTTTGTTTGTTTGAATAGTCCAGACACTTCCAACACAAGGAACTGTTCTTCCAGGAACTCTCCTGCCTTTCTTGTGATCTGTGTGATGGTGATCTCCACAAACTTTCCTCCTAGGGAAGGTGGGGAGGAAGTTTGACTAACAACCAAAATTACTTTTCAGGGATAGAAATCTGCCTTTTATGTAACATAGATTCTCATATAGTCAGTTTTGAGTTTAACAGACCAAACTGACAGTATATGATTGCCATTATTCTTTGAGATACCTGTCTTAATGCATCTGCAGGATCAAAATTGCACTAATAGAATAAAAAGCAGTGAGAAATGAAAACTGCAGATGAACATTTAGGCTGTATTTGGAAGGAGGAAGTTAAACTAGAAACTTTTATTTCATGTAAGTGTAATGTAACTGTAAGCTGAAACTAGTTCTAACGCCTGATGTAGAGTTGATGGTATAATTGTAAGTTCCTGTACTGTTCAAGGCTTTTAGTGTAGACATAAAATATATGAAGTGCAATTTGACCCTAAGTTTCAGATTTCCAAGTCTGATATCAGAAGTTTTTGCATGTATGAGTGGTAGTACCTGGTTTTAGGCAAAAGTAAATAAGTACTTGACACAACTAATAACATGCAAACTTTAAAGAATTCATGTATTTCTGTTAATACATGTTTTTCTAAGTTAATTTTTTAATCTAATATTGGCTTTTTAGTAAGAATGATAAGATGCACTGATTCAGTTTTGAGACTCAATTTCTGCCTTAAAAGGTGTCTCTGTTTCTGTTCCGCTCATGTTAAAAACTGTATCATGTTGTAGTGCTTGCATCTGTTTGGAAGAAATTTACAGAAACAGAAATCAAATGTTTGAGTACTTCTACTGTTAATTTTAATTGTGGAAAAATAAGCTTCTGAAGTGAAGGACGTTTCTAAAATACACTCAATTTTTTATGAATTTGGGGATATAATGTTGCATCTTGATGAATGTGTATCCCAGTGTGCAATTTTCCTTTTTCCTTTTATCTACCAAATATAATACCGGTTTAAAGCTACAGATTGTAGGGTTAGATTTCCCAATCTCTTATTCCCAGATCAAATCTCTTTCTACAGGTAAATATCTCATTTTTAATTCTTCTGTTTTAGAAGTTGTTCTAAATTACAGGTTTTGTGTCTCAGTTAGCACTCCACACTTACATCCTTAGAAGCATCTGGACCAATATGACCAGACTTTAGCATTTCATTACTTTATGAAAATAGTCATAAAATAGCCACACCATCTTAAATGTGAAGATAAGCCAGTCTGAGGGACTATCTTTTAAAAGAAGGAGGAAAAAAAAGGTTGTGATTTAAGAAAACAGAAGTAAAAGAAGAAAAATTCAGTTTTTTTCTTACTATATCTTTGCCTGATGTTCCTTTAAGATGTGCTCTGCTATGCAATTATTTATTCTACTGTACACAGACTGATATTACTTAAAACATTTACCTGCCTTTTGATATGTCAGTTTGTAAGTATTTCATTGATCATTTTAAAATTGCTATGGCTTTTGGTGTAGAATACCTTGAATGTAAGGGTTTTCATCTCACTACTGTATGGCGCTTGCTCCAGTTTATTAAATAGAAGCTCACTGTCAGAGGCAAATGATTTTTTCCGCCTGTCAGACATACAGTTCAGTAGTACATGCCTACACTGGCACTTACTTTTCCAAAACAATTTTCTTCCTACAAAACAGCACCTTACAATGTGGACTAAGCTAAGAATGGTGTGATATTGTGTGGATCTCTGTGCAATATAGCTGTCTGGTGACTACTGTGTGATTTGCATAGCTCCATTCAGGTGTGAATCATGTAGACCCTTCTTAAGTATCTAAAGCTTTAATAAAAAGGCCTTATTTAAAAATACTCTGAAATGTAAATGTGATGTTAGGCTGGTTTTTTTTTCTAAATAAAAGCTGAGAATACTGTAGCTTTGTTGTTTGCATTATTACATCCCATCTCTGAAGTATGCCAGTTGAAGTAATGTTTTTTGTCATAGATGGAAAATGGTGAATTGAGGGAAAAAAAGCACTGCTTGTGTGTTTGTGTGTGTGTGTGTCTGTGAAAGGCTCATATTACACTGCTGAGGTAGCAGGAGTATTGAAAACACAGTGTGGCATTCTACTGACTCTTCCCAGCTTTCTGGTATGACAGTCATCGTCAGTTATGTTTTTCTAAGGCATAAGTGACAGGTTGGTTCATTGCTTTAAGCTGAGCAAAACTGATACAGTGAAGACAAGAAGGGTGGATAAGGAAACTTGAAAAAAGACAAATATTCTAGGAGTCACATCACTATGAATGCACAATTTACCAGTATTTCCTGAAATGCTGAGTGGTAGATTAAGATGGTGCAAGGTCTGTGGCTTAGCACTTACTCAGCAACAGCTTTCTGAAAGCTTATTTTTAAGGTTCACAAAAACAAACTACATCTGCATAAGAGAGAACTCCACTTTGCACTGGAGTCTCAAATTAGAAAGAAGGGGCTTTGACTTCGCCTGAAGGACATTTTTAGCTTGTTGGCAAAATAATAAGGCTTTTTGTGTATTTATTGCCCAACTATAAATATTGCACTGGTGATATTCAACTTAGTATGAAAGGGTTTGTTTGTTTCAGTTAGCCTGCTTGGTTTTACAGGCCTAGTTCTTGTTCTTAACCCTTTTATTTCTCCTGTCCCCTGTTTCCCATATGACTGTTGTAAGGAAGAAATGGGTGGCTGACACAGTTTAAGGGAATGTTTTTCTCTGTTTTTTATTTTCCTGCCTGTTCATTAGATTTTGACCCTCATTTTTCCCACTCAGTTGCAGTCATACTGTCTTACGTTGGATTCATTTACTAGGTTTCACACTCTCAAAGTCAGAAGCAGCTACAGCAGCAGTCTCTGCTCCTCCATGCAGTGTAACTGATGAGGAAAGTAGAAAAATAAAGTAAAATACAGAGCTATCCTTAGACTTTGCAGAAGGAGATGGAGAGAAACTGCCCTATGTAGACAGAAAACTTTCATACAGTTAAAGATTTCTGAACAGATGAAAAATGAGTATTTTCTTCCTCAGGGGCTGTGACTGACCATTTTACAGAATCGCAGAATGGCCAGGGTTGGAAGGGACCTCAAGGATCATGAAGTTCCAGTCCCCCTGCCACACACAGGGCCACCAACCTCCTCATTTAATACTAGACCAGGCTGCCCAGGGCCCCATCCAATCTGGCCTTGAACAGCTCCAGGGATGGGACATCCACAGCCTCCCTGGGCAGCCTGTTCCAGCACCTTACCACTAAGGAACTTCGGCCTGACATCCAACTTAATCTTCCCTCCCTCAACTTCAAACCATTTCCCCTTGTCCTGCAGTTATCAACCCTTTCAAAGAGTTGATTCCCCTCCTGTTTGTAGGCTCCCTTTAGGTACTGAAAGGCTGCAATGAGGTCACCCCGCAGCCTTCTTTCCTCCAGGCTGAACAAGCCCAGCTCCCTCAGCCTGTCTTCATAGGGGAGGTGCTCCAGTCCCCTGATCATCTCTGTGGCTCTCCTCTGAACCCTCTCCAACAGCTCTCTGTCTTTCTTGTACTGGGGGCTCCAGACCTGGACACAGTACTGCGGATGGGGCCTCACAAGAGCAGAGTAGAGAGGGACAATCACCTCCCTGTCTCTCTGGCCACCCCTCTTCTGATGGAGCCCAGGATCCCATTTGCTTTCCAAGCTGCAAGAGCACACTGCTGACTCATTTAAGTTTTTCATCCATCAGGACCCCCAGGTCCTTCTCTGCAGGGCTGCTCTCAAGGACCACTCCTTCCAGTCTGTATGTATGCCTGGGATTCCTCCGGCCCAAGTGCAAAACTTTGCACTTTGCTGTGTTGAACCTCATTAGATTCACCCGGGTCCACCAGGTCTCAAGTCTGTTGAGGTCCCTCTGAATGGCATCCTTTCCTTTTACCTTGTCAACCACACCACTCAGCTTGGTGTCATCAGCAAACTTGCTGAGGGTGCACTCAATTCCATCATCGATGTCATTGATGAAGATGTTAAAGAGCACCGGTCCCAAGACAGACCCCTGGGGGACGCCACTCGTTACCAGCCTCCACCTGGACATAGAGCCATTGATGACCACCCTCTGTCTGCGGCCTTTCAACCAGTTTCTTATCCATCGAGTGGTCCACCCATCAAATCCACACCATTCCAATTTGGAGATAAGGATGTGGTGGGGGACCATGTCAAAGGCCTTGCTCAAGTCCAGGTAAATGACATCAGTTGCCTTTCCCTTGTCCACCGATGCCGTCACTCCATCATAAAAGGCCACCAGATTGGTCAAGCATGACCTTCCTCTGGTGAAGCTGTGCTGGCTGTCATGGATCACACACCCTTTCCTCATGTGATCAAGCATGTCATCCAGGATGATCTGTTCCATGATCTTCCCAGGCACAGAGGTGAGACTCACCGGCCTGTAGTTCCCGGGGTCCTCCTTGCTCTCTTTCTTGTAAATGGCAGTGATGTGACCCTTCCTCCAGTCATCCGGGACCTCACCTGACAGCCACGACTTTCCAAATACAATGGAGAGCGGCTCAGCAACCACCTCAACCAGCTCCTTCAGAATCCTGGGATGATGCCATCTAGCCCCATAGACTTGTATACATTCAGTCTCATGAGGCAGTCTCAGACTTGCTCTGCCCTTACAGTGGGGGGGGATTTACTGCCCCAGTCCCCACCTACAAGTTTAGGGATGCAGGGCTCAGGGGCATGAGATGAATTTCCCATTAGTGCTGATAAAAATGTACATCCCACAGCATGAGTGGGCATATTCTTCAGAAATGGGTATTTCTGGGGTTAGTAACCCACTGTGACATGCTTCCACACAGTTTTCTTTGTATATGGAATAACATAGGAAGACTATATGGCCTGCTGATTTAAATGACAGAATGACAGAATCATAGAATGGCTTGGGTTGCAAGAGACATAAAGACCCCATCAACTCCCCTGCTATGGGCAGTACCACCTTCTTCTACTCTAAGTTGACCCTATTCAACATGACATTTCCAAGGATGAGGCATTCACAGCTTCTCTAAGTGATACGTGATGCCTATCACAAATGAAAAAGTGTTGTGTGAATCATAGCACCAATCCTTCTTAAAAACAGAATTTCACTATAACTGTAATTTAATTGATAAATATATTCATGTGTCTATTTATACTGTAATTTATGTCATAACTTAGTGGGAGTACAGATGATGTTTCCTTGTATCTCTTCAGTGGCAGTGAGGGATACTGAGAGGAGCAGGTAAACCCATCTGCTAAATATACTGATGGGAGGCCAGCAGAACCACAGGAATTTGGGCTTTTTTAACCATGGGGGACCTCGCCTGATTGCTGATGATGGGGTCCACCTAGAATCATAGAATCATAGAATTACTCAGGTTGGAAGGGACCTCAAGGATCATCAAGTCCAACTGCAGCCTAACCACGGTACAGTAACAACCCTCTGCTAATATTCCAATGTTTAAACACCCTTTCTGTAAAGAAGTGTTTCCTAATGTCCAACCTAAACTTACCTTGGCGCAACTTGAAGTCATTTCCCCTCGTCTTGTCACCTGTCACCAGTGAGA